ACACTTACCCAAGAATTTGGAGGCATCATGAACCGCCAAAATGCCAGTGACCAGAAGCAGCGCACTGAGTTTCAAGACCGTTTTGAGAAAAATCTATGAAGTTGAGTGACAGAAAGTTTGTCACCAGAAGGTGTGCAGTACATGAAGTCCTATCAAGACGTTTGCATACCATCCAGCTTTTTGGCCACTACATTAGAAGAGCACCAACAGCACATTGTTGGTGGTCTCCCTGATCAAATACATTGACGCTGATCTGCTGAGCATGTATGAAACATCTCCTCCAATATAATCTATAATCAGGACCCGAGGCTCGTATTTGTCTTTATACATCGACAGTTATAAAAGTACGCGAGGGTCCACAAAACACAAGTTTCATTATCTCAGACTAAATGCAAGTCTCTGTCCGCATAGTCACTATTACAGGGATGCCAACTGCACATGCAGTGGAACACATAGACACTGATCTTCTGCACACGTATGAGACACGTCCTCTAAGCAAACTGGAAAGTTGTATAATAATTACATGAATAACAACTACACTTACGTAAGAGCTCGCAAGTAAGTGTAAACAGATCCTTAATCTCTTCAGTGGAAGGGAGGCTTCAAGTAGACATTACTTACATCAGCCTTTTACATGTTTGTTTTTATCATTACACTGGCTTTTCGTCCTCCATCTAGACATGGATTAAAGCCAATTACAGTGATATGTATGCTAGAGCTGTTTATTTTATTTATTTGGATGCTAAAAATGTGTCATTGTTTATTTTGTTAAACTTTTGTTCAACAGCTTATAGAGAGTAAAGTAGAAGATACTACTTTATTGAAAATATAAACAAGAATCCTTCATGTGTTTTTTAGAAGCATAAATGAAACAAATGTCGAATTAGAGATTTCACTGGATTACAGAATCTTGCTAAACAGAAGTTAACCATGACATCAGGACTTTATCTCTCTATGTTCTGTACAAACATGTCTGTAAAGTAAAATGATACAATAAAATGCATGTAAGGATGCCAACAAGTGATGCTATCCTCATATTTCTGACCTAAAACAACAGTATCACACGTTACATCTCACAACGGACTGCATTCAAGAGTGACATTCGTGCAAAGCAGATATCACTAACACATATCAGACATCAGCGTGCAGCCAAATGTCAACAGACGTAAACTAACACCTCCAGACGGCAGAGCAAACAGTTATTACAGAGAGAGAGTCTTTGCTCAACTGAGGACTTCCTCCTCGTGTTGTTGGGTCTGTCTGCTTTGACGTCGTCACAGAAGCAGGTTAACAGTTTGACTGTGACTACATCACAAGAGCTGTAACGGCTGGATGAAAGGGCTTCACCAAAAGGTGCTAATGGAAACGTCCTGAACCTGAAACCCACCAGCCCCACCGTCAAAACCTCGGAGGGGGAGGGGGGTGACAGAGGGTGGACAAAACAGACACTGAAATCAAGAGAGACTACAGTTGTTTGTCCAGACTGAGAGGGTCACGGTGGTGACAGTGTGTCCTATTATTTACAGTGATTGCCGGAGGATAGGGGACGAGGGTGTCAGCCGTCACAAGGGAGAGGAGTTGGGGGTTGGTGGGAGGGGGACCAACAAGTTTCTGTCAGCACCCAAAGGACAGGAGGCCAGCTGAGCCAGTGTTGTCTTTCATTCCTGCTGACCTGTTTGAACCACAGTGGGCCGTCCGCTGTCAGCCTGTTTAGACAGCTAACAGTCTGCTTACTCTGTAGCCAGACTGTCAACAGCACTTGACACTTAAGACGGCACTTAAGGCACGAAAGTTTTGTTTACCCTCCTTTTGGTCTCCCTCTCAAGTCAGTGACGGTATACTTCTATCAACAGCTCCGGCGAAGATGAAACAGAATAATAATTACATGCAACCATGAGAAAGGCCGCTGTCCTCTTCTCACTTCGTCTCACAGACCTCATCCTTATTGTAGCGAGGAGGAATTTACACGTTAATTGGGTTGTGATAGTAAGACCTGCAGGTAGAAGGTAAAACATTCACCCAGATATGGATTATGACATATTGTCCAATTAAAACCTAATCGGTTTGTCAGGTTCCACTTCGCTGTAGGAGGTGTTCACACGAAACACAAAGCAAACTTTAGAGACGCTTATCAAATGCACTGCATCTACATACTTGAAATGTCTGATACAAAGACAGGCAAAGATGCAAATGTTTTAGTTTTACTGTAGAAACTGCAACTTGTACTTTTTGCCATTAACAACTATTCAAAGTTTCTGTTGACTTCTGCTGTCAAATGGGGGAAATCGAAGTTAAAACAAATTTCACTCAGTGTTTATACTTGAAGCTGTAACTTCTCATTACAGTCAAAGAAAAATAAATGCTTCTTTTACACGTAACTCTGTGTAATTAGGTAAGTTTGTGGTATATTTAAATTGTTTGTCACATCCAGGAATATAAACATATACTTTACAGCTTTCCTCAAATAAAGAAGTTATACAAAGTAGTGTATAAGAATGAGGCAAAAAGCCTGGACTCCAAACGAGGCATGTCAGGCAGGTAACGAGCAATGTTTTCTATGGGAGAGAATAACTCCCTGTTGTGTCCAGTTTTGACTTTAAAAGTTTGCAGCACTTTTATATGCCCACTAAAGATGTCTGACGCAATAAAATAATGAGGACAACTGAAAAAGAACAATATGGGCTCTTTAAACTAAGAGGTTCAAGTTGATACAGAATGCAGATTAATTAATTATGAATATATTAACGATGTAAAAAAAAAAACTGTCTTCTTTGTGAAAAATGTTAAATTAACTTGGATTAAGTTGGCAGAAGTAAAAAGTTGGATAAACTCAGAATAATAGATTGTATATAAAAAGGTGGACATGTAACCCCTGGGCCTGGTAATTGAATAAGTGCCTTCATTGGCCAGCAGGGGGCGACGTCTGTGGTTCCACAAAGAAGTCTGACGTAGAGACGTCTATGAGAAAATGACCCTACTGCTCATTTGATTTGTTACCTAAATAAACACTTTCCCAATGAGTTTATGGTCTAGATCGATAATTTTAAATCTGCTGTAACATAGCAAGGTGTTCATTTAGTAACTTATGTAGCAACTTAGATGATAAACGAGATAATGCTTTAGGTTGTGGATGCTTTGTGTATCAGTACCAAAAAGAAAAGAAAAGATGGTAACACCTAAATTCCAAACTTGGGGCTTCACAGAGGTATATATACCAGTGGGTGACATTATAATTGTTATGCCCATATTTCATATAAAGTCTATGGTAAAAACATTGATTTCATTAATTAAGCTAAATTGTCTAAGCATCTTTCTAAAGTTTGCTGCCATGAAATTTTGGGGTTTCTCAACTTGAAATTTTTACAGTGCTGATGTAATTTTATTTAATTTTTTTAATAAAAAAAAAAAAGAAGCTTGTGAACCTATTCAGTATAAGAGCAGAAAATATGTTGAGTTCTCATCCATTTAAGAGTCAAATAAATATGTTGATTTAACTGAGACAAAAATTGCTTTGTGTTTAGTCTGAGCACGTTCATCACACATTTATATACATAAAAAAAAGTGTTTGTTAAATATGTGTAAAGACAGAAATTAGCGAGCTTAGCATAAAAACTGGAAATAGGGAAGAAACAACCTGGCTCAGTAAAGTGGTAAAAACAAAAACAAAAAAACAACTACTAGCACCTTTCAAGTTCAGTAACTAATCTCTTATCATCCCTAAATCCATGCAAATCTTTTTTGTACAACCAACCAAATTGCAGGTTTACAGGGAATTACATGCCACGCTATTGCTCTAAGATGCAACGATTTCTCACTCATCATTAGGAGATTGCCAAGTAACTAGTTTAGACGTGCAGAGAAACTGAGAGACAACAAGATACAACATTAAAGCTGTGTATCTGGAAAAGAGAAAAAACACACACACACACAAACACAGCAGGATTTTGAAAATATGTCCCTGCTCCTGCATCTCTCACTTCACCACTCTCTAACCATCTATGCTTGTTCAAAAATAGTCAAGTCAAGAATGTTTTTTGCTTTACACAGGACTAAAACCACACTCTCCTGGTGAAAGTCCTTCATTTCACCTACATCCGTCTCCCAGTGTGTATTTGGTTGCCCTTCATAAAATCTAATAGAAGTTCAGTTTCCTCTCAGACAACTTGAATTAAAATATACTGAAAGGTTACAGTTGAATTTATGCCCATTGACACCAAAAAAATACTGCATAGCCCAGCTTTAATGATTTGATTAGATTTTATTTAGAGGCCCTTTTAAGTATTTTTAAACCTTTGGACATAGTCAGCCTTACTGGTTGCCCTTTAGCTGCACTAACCAGCCTCTGACTGTAGCCTTGTAATTACTAGACAGATAATGAGAAAGGTATTGATTTACTCATTTAGGACATGTAAAGTAAATAGGCCAAAATCTCAAACTATCGCTTGAGGTCTATATAGAAATAATTTATTAAAATAGGCATATGAAAGAAATGCTAAATGAGAAGAGGTCAAATTCACGTAATGTGAGGCAAAATTTTCCTTCAGCCTGAACAAACCTTCAGTCAAGAATAATGAATTTGTCTTGACTGGGTTACCATAATTGTTTGCAATGAAATAATTTGTAAGATATTAAACAATAATGACTTCAAAATGCAGACAGCAGAAGATCTGCTCTCAGATTTTGGGCATGAATGCTTTAATAACAAGTTAAGAGCTCAAACCTGCTTGGCTCTGTCACATCCAGTCTTCACCAGTAATTGTACATCATCAGGACATCCATCTTTGAATATTCTGTGCGTTCTCTTTTCTTTGCTTAAGTCACTGGCATCTTATCAGAGCCACCGCCAATAAAAAACTGCTTTCAAATCGTCTTCTAAAGCCCCTACGTCAACATCTTCTACTGTAACAAGGAGCAGCAGTGGTCTCGTCTGAAGGAACTATGGAGGCAGAAACAGGAACGTCTGTGTTTGCATGCTCGTGTGAAAGATACAGATGAATGCGTATTGTTTCATGTCTTGTTTAATCATTGGAAAAACATCTATTCCCCACAGATACCATCCAGCATACTTGGCGATAAAACTGAAGCGTATCAAACAAGATGTATGAAACTTGCATGTCAAACAGCTCCGAACAGGACGACTTTTAACCGACTGCCACAGTGGCTTCTCCTTTTGACAGAGTTGGATATGTCACAGGGTCCCTGTTCGATCACTCAGGAGGCACCGAGGCAGTGATGTGAAATGGAAATCACTTGGTATTTAGTTTGATATCAGTGTCTGGGACACCTCTTGAACACCACACACGTAAAAGTTAAACAGCCATTGCACTTGCTCAGAGTATAAGGGGGGGAAAAAGCCCAGAGGCACATTCCATAACTGGGTTACCAACAGCTGTCTCTTTGACAAGGGTTGAAATTTGTGAAAACAAGACCTTTTTTTTTTTAAAACTGCTATAATTTATTCTATCTCTGAATCACTTTTACTGCATTCCAGACTGTACATATAAGTTCACATGATAAGAGCACCTCTTTTGTTGTTTCTTATTTCCAGGTTACGGCTCAGGTTCCGGAAATCTTTGCACTGCTTTCCTTTTGTCTATAATTGCATGTACAATGGTATAACCTTTAAACTTTAGAGCCTATACCATCGCAGGGTAATTCTTCCAAAAAAAAAAAAGAGAGGGAAAAAAAAAAGGAATCACAAGCTTGATCACGCAGCAGCATCAATGTTCTGGGAAAAGAGAATGACAGGTTATTTAGTGCTGTTTTGATATTTGAGCCTGAGGAATGCCTACAGATACAGTGATCCCTCTGTCTGAGAAGGAAGCTTCATAGATGAGGTAAGACTGCTTACAGCTATGAAACAAAATCTGAAACAGATTAAAAGACATTTTCCTCAGCTTGATTCATATTTCTTTCAGCTCGCCCAGGTGTTACACCTCAAAACAGGGAGGTGAAGAGAGCAGGGAAGATGTGCAAATACGCCCTTGCATGTTTTGGAGACAAAAACACAAAGAGAAGAAAAGAGTTTTTTTCTTCTTGTTTTTGTCAGTTGTTGAAGCTTTCACCACTAACATTTTAGATTTAACTTTCCAATATCTTTGCCACACTGTTCCACTGTAGATAAAGCCTGATGTGCAACACTGTGTAAAGACATATGAGGGGAATTACATCAGAAGCAGAGAAACAAACTTGGTCTTGTGGCGTCTGCAGACACTGATTGTTCCAGCTTGTCTTCATACCTGTTCAGGTTTCACTGCAAGGCTTGTCAATCCCTCCCAGGACTTCAAACACAGCACTGAATCCTTCACCTGCACCTTCACTCAATCCCTTCGCACCTTGCCGAAAAAAAACCTGCAGCACAAGTAGAAAGATGGTAAATTACCCGTAATTACCTTTATTTGAGCTCAGCAAAACAAAGACATTTTGTAGTGCTGTTGTGTTGCTATTGGAACATCACACCCAAGCCAGTTCTCTCTAATTGCAGTCGACATGCTTCCTACCTGCTCTGCAACAATGGTGAAAACTTAATTTGTGGCTGTCTTCTTTGTGCTAGCACTGAATATAGAAGCAAATAAAAATGGCATCTTCGGAATGACTCCACACGCAGTTGCACGGAGTGAAAAGACAATGACCAAACTTTGCACGACACGCCTTCTTTTAGTCTAGAGAATCACAGGTAACAAAAAGCACAAGACAATGCCGCTCCCATGCTCGCTCCTTACACTACTCTCATGCTTGCCATTAGATGTTCTCATTATTCTCTCCCGTGTCTTAATGCAAAGTGAAAACAGATTTGGACAGCAATGAAAAGTTACCCAATCACTTAGATCTCAAGCGCTCTGTGAAATCCGTTTATCCCTGATCATTATGACAGTGTTTTTCTGTCTGTATCGATAGTCATTTCCTTTCTCCCTGCAGCAGCCTTAGAGTCTCCAATGCTGGCGCTGAGCACAGCACAGCCAGCACAGTCCCACGGAGTGCAAGCAAAGGAGGAAATCAATAGAGAAAATATCGCTGCAGGCTCACACATTTTTATCTTGCTTTGAACGAGTCAGCTTTAATTTTGCTTTGATCTCAATTTGCTGCTTTTGGGATAGCTTGGCTGCACATTGAACCAGGAGGAATAAGCTTCCACCAGGGCTTTCTTACAAAAGACCCTTTCAACTGAGGCCTTTATTTTGCCTATATGCGTCAGTGTCCATTACTGGTTTACAAGGAATAAAGATACGAGGAATCAAAAACAAACTAATATTAGAGGACTCGGACACACTGCTGCACGTCTCATGCAGACAGTTCGCCAGCTGAATTTTATCTTTTCTAGTCAGCGAGGATTTACGGACAAGCAGAGCAAAATGTTGGACAATGTTAGCGAGGGGCCACAATAAAGAGATCTTTAGTGTTGCTGTCAGAAACAGCTCAGTGGTGTTGTGGGGTAACAGGTTGACATGATGCACAGCTGGCGTTGTTCTCACTGCTCTGCCAACCACACCGCCGCACCACTCCGCTCCCCCACACATCATTAGAGCTGACACACCAAAGGGATGGCGATATTATAGCATCACCTAAGGTCTGCTAAAGATGTCTGCCCTTCCCTCATCCTTTTCCAAACCAGTGCATTCTTAGGAGGGGAGTTGTTTGGGAATTTGTTTCTCTTTTATAAAGCAGAGACAAAAGGGTAGGATAAATGACCAGGCAGAGAAAAGACCAGCGCCTTGCTGGGGAGAAAGGGAAGGGTCTAATCTAATTTGGTTAGAGGAGGATGTGTATTGTGTGGGTGCACGCACGCGGGGTGTGTGCGCACATGCACGGCCACGCTGCACAGTGTGAGGGGACTGTGGGAATGGGACAGGAGGGCTGCGCTATTGAATGGAGCCTCCAGAGCCAGAAGCAGTGGGGAGTCTCCCCAGACGCGCTGATTCCAGGCCGGCCACTCAAAGAGGGATTAGACCAGAGAAGGCCTTCCTGATTAGCAATTCACACTCAAGTGCCCCCACAAGGACCTCGGGTAATAATATTGCCATCAGTGTCCTTCACCGATACAGGCAATAAAAAAGTTTACCCCCATTTTGACTTTTTTCCTCCTCCTTCATCTATAACGTCCGCTAATTGCTCTCATGTTCCGAACAACTTTGCAGAAAAGTCGATGAAACTCTCCACTGGCTCTGATGTGACTTTCTTAAACAAAACAAAAAAAAAAAAAGCATTTTGCGAGCAGTTAACTGAAACTGTTTTGGTTCATTGCTTCGTCTCAAGCTGCTGAACTTCAACAACCCCTCCCCTCCTTTTCTTCCTCCTCCTCCTCCTCTTCTCCCACTACTTCTTCCTCCCTTCCTCTTTGCTGTTAAACGACCACCACATAAAAGAGTATGATGTAAGAACAGCCCACTAAACTAATATTGCTGTTTCAAAGCAGCCTCAACACAGATGTTATTGAGCTTCATAACAAACAAAATTCATCACAGAAGTGTTTATTGCAAATTGGCTGACAGCCTCTGTGTTCATATAAAAGTCCACCATCCTTATAATTATACTAATCTACTCTATAAACACTTGAAAGGTTGCATTAATGCGCTGATGCCCTCTTATCAGCCACAGCACACAATGAATGAGGTCAGAGGGTTAACCTTCAACTGAATTGACTCGGCTCATAATAACGGCAGTGAAACAAAGCAGATTTTAAAGGAGCAAAGTGAAAAGAAGAGTGATACAAATTAGTCCTCATTAATAACTTACTTTATTGAACTATTGAAAGCCATATGAGCCAAGAATACTGCAGGCTTTGATGTTGACAGGGCTCTTAAATAATTAATTGTTTGATTCATATGCATTTCCTTAAAATGTTTGACCTTTCACAAAAACTGGTCCTCTTAATAAAGCAGCAGCATTTCAAACAGGACAGAAAAATACCATGTGTACTATTAAAGCCGGTTATATTTGCAAGCAGTTCTGCAAGTACAAAGAAAAAATCTTTTAAACTGAGAGATGAGAGAGTTTTGCTTTCTTGTTTTTAAAAAATCATAGTTTTACTATGAGCTTCTACATGTCCGTGTCCAGATGTAACTGCTTTTCCATCGCGTCTTTGGTTTTTGGCACCAACCTCTTCACACATTGTTGAGTGGCAATAAGAGAGAAAATAACAGATTATGTTGATAAATAGGATCATCCTGAGCTAAACGCTGAATGCGTGCGATCAGGAGGGAGAACAGGATCCTTGGACAATGTGCAGGGCATGTGGACAAATAGTCTCACCTCCAACTGAGTGTGTTGTTTCTTCTCATTGTGCCCTCTGAAAGAGTAGAGGAGGGCCTTGGTTAAGAAGATTATAGGCCTACCCCACCCGTACGTTTAATCAACATGCCCTTTCAACGCCGGCAACAATGCCAAACATGTCTAAAACGTCCCCCATCTCTCCCATAGCATACCTCACATGTTGGAACAGCAAGCGAGCCATCTAACCACAGCAATTAACAGAAATACTGTGATTACTTTTACTGATACCGAGTCGGCGTAGGTAGATCAAGTTTCCCATTAAAGAAACTGATGGCGTCAATTTCAGAAATGTCACCATCGCACTCATGTGTTTGATCTAATTTCAGGCTGCGCAAACAAAAATGTATTAGCTTCAGCTCATTTTTACTGATCAAGATTCCCTTAAGAACCCAAGGAGCTTTGCTTCCTCACCCTTCATTTCTTTCATCCATGGTTAAATATGTAAATAAAATGTCTAAAGTCATTCTTCAAAGGGGAACAAAAGAAAAAAGGGGGCTGAGGGAAAAGACAGCCATAAAATTCCTCCGATTCTCCATAACATTAGCCAGAGGGGGGCCAGCTTCCAGCCAGAGCCTAGCAGCAGGGGAGCGAGCTCGCTCCATAGAATCACACATCTCAAATCCCACACACAAAAAAAATAAAATATCTTTTCAGCTTCAGCCATCAAAGGGCCCTCCCTTTCACTTTATTAGTTACAGAATTATCTCACAGTTGCTGATTTCTCAGAGATGGAGCAGCGCTGCTTTTCTTCGTCGCACTGTTGTGGTTGCAAAGATGAGATAAAGTTGCTGTGTGTGCGAGAGAGAGAGAGAGAGAGAGAGAGAGAGACAGAGGGAAAGCGTGTGTGTTTTGCACATGTGTGAGTAGGAATGAACTATAGGAGGGGGTATACGAAAAAGGGGATGCTAGGGAAAAAAAATCATAAAAGAGACAGTGGTAGCTGCTGAGGCTACAGATGCTAAAGACTGAACAAGCCTGATTCCTCCCCTTTTCTTCTCATTTTCAAAGAGATATCATCATGACCGGCAAAACAATCATGAAAGAGAGGGAGGCAGGAGGAAAGACAGGACGAGAACAGAACAAAGGCGATGAATTACAACAAGCAGTAGACTGTGCCTTCTTATTAGACTGTGTGACAATTTTATCTTGTCAGCTTCATTACACCAAAGGCAGCGATAATAAGGGCAGATACTTGCTTTAAAATATGCCAGACATGGTTTCCTGAATGCCAGATGATCAGTAAACGGCGAGCAGAACCGGCCCTGCGAATGCAATGATATGATACCATTCTTCTTCACATTAAAGCTGTCGTCTCTTTTTGTTCTACTTCTGCATATCAGCTACATAATAAAAGTCTAGTGGAGCGGGAGGGACGGAGCAGGCATGTCAGCTGTTGTCCTTATCTTTGTGAGGGGGTCAGAATATATAAAACGAACGCTGCGACTGCATATGGGCTTTTATGCATAAAGAAAACGGTTTGCATATCTTTTTTCTTTTTTTCTACCAAGAGTTTCTCTTCAAAAAATGATATCTGTCAGGAAATCAAACTGTCGTAGCCGCTAAACCCTCAAGCTGTGGACATAGTAGCAAATAAGCATATAAACAGTCATTATTTTCGAAAAAAACAACTGAAGAACATGAAACATTTTTTTCCTCCTATTTAAGTTCAGACCAAATCTCCTCAAACGTTAACAGCTGGATGTGTGAAATCTGAGCAGCACATATGCCGCATAGGAGGAGGGTATTGTGTTCATAAGTGTATTCATACCCTATATTTATGCTCCTGCTCCACACACTGAGCGCTAACAGCTGAAGTGCCACCGCTAAGATATGCTGTGCTTAAACCATTTAGGCACGCTGGTGCCAGGTTTCTCATCTTGCCCGGACACATTTCTGAAATAGTTCTAAAAGCACTTTAGTGTCTCTTGTAAAAATGTACTGAAAGCACTCCTGTTTACTTGTGATCAGTATTTCACCCTTGATGAAGAACATAGCCAGGCCTGCGCATAAATCTTACTGCTACAAACTTTTTACAAGGTAACGTGAGCGAGGCCTGGAGGAACTCACACACATACACATAAAAAAGGCAGAAAGTCCCATAAGCTGCTCTTCTGTCAGCCATCCTACATGAACAGGATGATAGCAGAAAAAAACAAGATGGAGTTCTGGGAGTGGAACAGCAATGCATCTTTAGGATTTGCTTATGTTGTTGTTTATTACAGAAGACTATATGTTGTGCCCTTTTTTGTTTTGTGATACTATGTGACTTGCTGCTGCATCTTCAGTGGGCATGCTCGCTGAAGGAATTG